ATATTTTTAATGTAATATAAAAATATTAAAAATTTATTATAAATATTTATTACATTTATATCATTTCTAAGTCTAATAGACTTTTTAAGTTCGTCAGCACATCGTAACGGATACCGTTCTCTTGCATCACATAATTCAAATACCGCATCTTCGCATTGTTGTTCAAGATCATCTAAAAAACAAAATTTAAACAAATACAATTCTTCTTTTCTTAACTTTATTTTTTATTGCTTTAAACTTTTTTTGCATACCCATTGTTAATAATTCTAAGGTTGTTGGATTTTAGTCCAAAACAGTACTATTTTTCGTTAATTAAAATTTCAGTTGAGTGAATGATAACGCTTCTGTGAAGTTAACATATTCAGCGCCCTCAAGTAGTAATTAATGACAACTGCCTACGTTAAAATAAATTTAAACGAAGTTGCTTAATTAAATTATTTCGTTTTAAATGTCTTTTTCTTGATAAAAATTGGCTTGTACAGTTTGTTTCTTACATTGAAAATAGATTGTATAAATGAAAACGTTATTCAACATAATGTACAAACGCAGACGATATTCGTACTACTCCTGTTTTATTTCTTTTTTATACATAAGTGACATTAATTTTTTCCTTTTTTGTCAACTAAATCCTCATTTGATATTATGTTGATTTGTAATTAATAAGCTATTATTAATATATTATAATACTTAATTCACAAGGAAATGTATCATTCGCAAATAAAAATGTCAGTTACTAAGCAAATATTCATATTGAAGGTTGATTAATCGTGTTCGATGGATGGTCATTAAAGTATATCACAATCATGATTAAATTTGCTGAGTTGGTGATAAAATAAAATCATGTGCCCAACGGAAATTGGTAGCATCGACATCTTCCGTCCGCGTGGCACTTATTTGGTTCTACATTTGCTGACATTGGCAAAGATACTTGTTTTGCGGTATACAATTCACCGCCATTAAAATCGTGAATGCCGTTATCTACACCGGCAAGAAACAGTTACGTAAAAGTAGTTTTTCTTTTTTCTCAATGTCATTAGTGTTGTGATGAGGAAGTATTAGAAGAGATCTGTGTTTTTAAGTTTCTCAAAAATATCATTTAAATAAAAAGCTATATTTTCAAAATATTAATAGTCAATAATTGAAATAATGGGGTACTTAAAATCCATTGGTACCGTGATAATATACATTGGTCTTTTCTTAGCTGTCATTACCTTTTTACCGGGTTTACCTCCAGACGCAGAATATTCCGAATACAGGTATAATATTTGCATTATCTTATAATTTATGATTTATTTTATAATTTATAAATTTCAAATGTGCAAAATAAAAGACTATAAGTCTACAATAAATATTTAAGCATAAAACTACCCTCTGATACACAACTGCAATTTGAGTTAAAAAATCGGCTACAAGGAGCAGAAGTATTATTTTCTGAAGAAGTTAAAGGTCCAGAATGTTTTGCATCATATAATGGAGAACTATATACTGGTATACGTGGAGGTTATGTTGTGAAAATTGAAGAAAATCGTATTAAACCAATTGTAAAATTTGGTCAAAAATGTGGTATGTAAAAGCAATTGTTAATAAATATTATGGTTTTATTTTCACGAACAGCATTTACAAGGATAAATTAATTGTTTAATTATGTAACAAGTTTATATATAAATGTACTTAATATGGATATTTTAATTAAAAATATATTTGCAGATGGTTTATGGCAAGAAGAAAAATGTGGTAGACCTTTGGGTTTAAAGTTCAATGATAAGGGAGAATTATTTGTAGCTGATGCTTACTATGGTATTTTTAAAATGAATGTTAATACACGACACTATGTAAACATAGTCAATAGTTCTGAACCTATTGATGGAAAAGTTCCAAAATTGGTCAATTTTTTGGACATTGCAAAGAATGGAGACATTTATTGGACAGACTCATCTACAGATTTTAGAATACATCTAATATATAATATTTTTTTTTATATATACAAGTAATTATTTCTTTGTAGACTTATTCGATATAATGCAGCAACAAAACACAATGAAGTATTGGTACGAAATCTAGGATTTGCGAATGGAATTTTATTGAGTGATGATGAAAGCTTTGTGATTGTATTAGAATGTCTTACTTCACGCATTATTAAGTATAATCTAAAAGGGCCAAGAGCTGGACAACATGAAGTCTTTGCAGAAGCTTTACCTGGTTTGCCTGATAATGTACATAGTGATGGGCAAGGAGGCTTTTTAGTATCTTTAGTTCTATATGTAGATTCACAACATCCTTTCTTACCTCAATCCCTTATACCACATCCATATTTGCGAAAAATGTTATCCAGATTGTTGTATTTGATAGAAGTTCCCTTTAAATTGTTGCAAGATGTATATCCAAATTATTATGCAGAAAGAGTTTTACATTCAGTAGGTTCATTCGATACTTCAAGAATTTTGGATGTTAAGAAAACTTCGGTAATACTCAGAATGGATAAAACTGGAAAAGTCTTAGATGCTATATATTCAGAGGATAGAAAAGTTAATGATATTTCTTCTGCTTACATACATAATGGTTATTTGTGGCTTGGTTCTCCTTGGAAAGACTGCATCATGAGAGTTCCATTAAAACAAGCATTTCCGGATTTAGCAGTCAATAAAAGATCTTTGCCAAATATTAAAGTAGAAGCAAAATCCATAAATGTTAAACCAACTGCTCAAAGTACTAAAAATTCGCCTCCAAAATCAACTGTTAAAGCACAAACACAAAAATCAAATTCAGGTGCAACAACTTCAAAGTCTACATCACAACCTTCCACTACCACTTCAAAACCACCATCAACTACTGCTGCTCCAATCACTACTACAACTCCAAAACCATCAACTACTGTTGCTCCAATCACCACTACCACTTCAACACCACATACTTCAAATGTGATACCAAAAGAAGCTAAAAAAGTTAATGCACAAGGAGTTAAGAAAGATAATTTAAAGGAAATTAAAAAGGATAATTCAAAAGAAATTAAAAAGGATAATTCAAAGGAAATTAAAAATGATAATTCAAAGGAAATAAAAAGGGACAATCCTGCTAAATCTGAAGCATCTAAAAAAAGCAACGAAGCAATAGTAAAACCGAAATCTGATGACGCTATTAAGAAAGGTGCTCAAAATACTCAATCTGCAAAATCCAAGCCTGTAGAGAAAAAAGAAGACTCTAGTAAGAAGTAAACAAGCGCGTACAAATGCAGACATTAATCTAAATTTGAATTCAAGCTTGATTGTGTTATTCCATTCCATGTTAAAAGTTCTTCACATTCCAAACATATCGAATTAATGATTTAAATTTTACGGAACTTATCACGTACATTCGTTTCGTTATTTTACTGATATAGAATTTATCTTTCATTTATATTTGTTGAAATGACGTTCCAGTAAATGATATTAAAAATTATTTTATTTTCTTATAAGTTCATTTTCAAATAAGCAAAAAAAAATTAGAAAA